TTTTTTTTTCATGTGAATATCGAGTTTTCTCACTCTCGTTTATTGTAGAACCATCCTCCCCCTGTCTCTTTGGAACTCTTTTATTCAACTGTACATGTGGGCATGATTTTCCAGCTCTCGGTTCTGTTTTTGTACCTTGCTTACAGTGTTTGCGTTTCTTCTGTTTATGTACTGTACGTCCTTCTAACTTTTGTCTGTTTGGTTTTGAGATAAGGTCTGTGTAGCCTCGCCTGGCTTCAAACTCAGGCTCATCATACGTCAGCTTCCTGAGTTCTAGGTGTAGAGTTTGTACCACCGTGCACGGCTCTATTTTAATGTCCAGTTCGCTGTAGTAGAATTTGAAACCAGGAAGTATGATTTCTCCCATTTCTTCCTGCTCCAGAATGTTGTCTTAGTGACTTTCCCGGTTGCCATGACATACTACCTGACGAAGAACCTTCCAAAAGGAAGGGTTCCTAGTTCATGGGTGTAGTCCCTAACGGTGGGGACATCACGGTGGCAAGAACTTGAGACGGCTGGTCACACAGGGTGGGTAGCCAGGAAGTAGAAAGCGGGGAATATTTGCTCTCAGTTCCTTTCTTTCCTCTTTGTATTCCATCTGAGCTCTCAGCCGGCAGGATGGTGCCACCCATACTCAGGGTGACTCTTCCCACCTCAGTCACCCTAGCCTACGTTACCTCGCAGACATCCTCAGAGTCTCGTCTCCTAGGAGATCTCAGATCCTGTCAAGTCGACAGTATTAGTCATCACAACTGCTTTAGGGGTTTCTTTGGAGGGGGGTAGATGTCTTTTGTGGTTCTAGGTACTTTCAAGCATTGTTTTGTTCTGTCTGTGTGTCATTGGCATTTTGATATGCTTTATATTGAATTTGTGGCTATCTTTGGGCAGTATGAACATATAACAACATCAGTTCTTCCAGTTAGTTCATGGACACAGAATATCTATTTTTTTAGTGTCTTCTTTAATTCCCCTCGCTAATGTCTAATCGTTTTCATTTACAGATCTAAAACATCCGTTTCTAAAGGGGAAGAGCGTGCTTTTCCCAGTGAGAAGGGCAGTGATGGGGAGAAGCGGCCACCAGTGCTCTCTTTCTTTTGGGATCATTGGTTACCGTTTGAAGTTCTTTCTTCCAGGCATCGAAAGGGGCAAGGGCTGCGTCAAGTGCAAAGCTTACAGAAATGTTGGACATGCTACGACAAGAGCCAGAACAAAATGCCCATAGAGGGGAGGAGAGCGCTCTCTAACCCTGTGTGGCATTTTAAGAACAAGAGAAAGTTTATTTCATGAGATGTTTGTTGGTAAGGCTTGGCCGAGAGCTAGGATCCAAACAGAAGCAGGCAATGAGAAACTCCACTTTTGGCTTCCCTTTGGTATGTTTGTTCATGGTTTCTACTTCCTCACCCCATTTCTGCTTGAACCCCACTCCTCAGCATCAGCCTCATTCTCTCTGCTGTGGGTCATCTTATCACTGTCTCCTCAGAAATCTCTGTGGCCACCTTACTCAAGACAGCCCACCTTTCTCTAAACATTTGCCTGGCTTGACTTGTATCCACATCCGTGGTACTCCTTGACATCATGCTGATGAAAGGACCAGTGGCCTTCAGCTAATTTGTGTGTTCACTTATACTTCACTCACTAAGACTCGCCGTGGTCAGATACTGTTCTTGGCTTTGGAGACAAAGTTTGAGGTTTTATGATGGGTTTGTATTCTAGTTTATAGAGAGAGACCAAAGTAAGTACATAGGGCAATTTCAGGTAGCATTTGTAAATGTACGTAGAAAGTGAAATAGAATAGTAAGTGTGCAGGCTGTTTTTGTCAATTTGACACAACCAAGAGTCACGGGGAAAGAGTGTCAAGCCTGCGGGGAGTTGTCTCCCTTCATGGTTTCTGCTTGAGTTCCAGCTCTCACTTCCCGCGGGGATGAATTGTGGCCTGAGAGCATAAGATAAAATAAATCCGTTCTCCCC